TGTTACCATGGCTACCAAGATCTCCCGACTTATCCCCAATTGAGCACATGTGGGATATGATGGGTAGGAGATTGCTCAATTTGCAACGTCCTCCTCAGACTCTAGAAGCACTTCGAGAGGAGTTGGTGGTTGCCTGGAATGAGATACCACAGGAGGACATAGGACATTGACCACCTGATCAGAAGCATGCCTAGGCGCGTTGGAGAATGCGTAGCACATCAGGGTGCATCCACACATTATTAAAGGTCAAAGGGCAAAAAGCAGTGCAATCATTTTGAAATTTTTATCATTTACTTATTATGCTTTATTAAGTACTTATACAAAATTTTATTAAAATAAAACCATTTAAACTGGGTGTTCGGATTTATATGTCACTTAGTATAAATGGTTTTTCACATTATATGCATTTTCATTGTGAGCTTTTCGCACGCCATAGATGATGAAAGTTTGCAAATAGGAAAACGGTGGTGTACGCATGATTCCTTATCATTTTTTTACAAAACTTTGATCACCTTTCAGAAACACTGTCGGATCATAACAGAGAATTTTTGAAAACACGGTTGAATCTCAAAAAACGCGTTTTTCATTCTTTGTTGTTCTATAAAAAGTTTTTTCGCCACTAATTTTGTGCACCCACGTTTTAAATACCCCCTTGAACAAGTTGCATCAACAAAACTAAACTTCACAACTATTCGCAAACCAGGCGAGTTTTCCTGTAACATAGTTTATAAAAAAAAGCAAACCAATCGCACTAACGATGTACAGATTGTATTTTTCCGCGCTGTTTACTAGACTTTGAAGTTGAGTCATTAATTTCCAGATAATGATTGTAGAAGGAAGATAAACCAAAATATGTGTGTAAAAATAAGAAAAAAATTTTTACCTTGTTTTATAAAGTATCCTCCCGACAAGTATTTCAGTGCGGACCTGTATTTGATCGTGCGGTCTTGGAGCACCGGCATGCCGTCCATATGTGAGGTCTTAAGTCAAATGATTCACGAACCCGTTGTACTACATTAACAAAGGCACGAGGGGTTGGTTGCACTCGATTGGGAAACCGATCCGCATAAACATGTGCCATTTTTTATTTCGTTTGAGCCACGCAACAGACACGACTATTCACTACCGACTGACACTGACTGTATACAACTGCATGAAATAATTGTAAAAACATCGTTCCAAATTCTTTCGCTTTTTTGTTTCCGATGCGATGAACTGATAAGGCGGATTATCCGTTGTCGCCAAACACGAGCACATAATATTATTATTGAGACAGGGCGGTACTCAAACTTCCAAAGGGCTATAACTTTGTTACTTTAATTTTACCAGATAAAATGGTAAAGGAAAAAAACATTTCTTTTGATAAGATCTACTCACTGTTAAAATAAATGACTCAACTTCGAAGTCACCCTGTATAATGTTGGTTCAAAAATAATGATCGGAGCATCAGCTAGACAATTCCTTTCCTTTTAAATTTTCAGGTTCATCAGTTTAAATATTAATCGACACCATTACGCGGTAAAACGGAAAAAGCAAATAATGGATGTTCAAGAGACATCTAATTAAAAGCGATACTTTCCGACACAATGGTTGCAAAATGGCCCATTTATCACCCTTATGTTGCAGAATGAGGTGCATCTATCAAGCGAATTACGATAATAAAACTTAACGGTACTTCTATATAAATAAAAACGAGTTATTTATAATTGCACTTAATCCTTTCTATCAACTGGATTCGATGAAACTTACTGTGTACCGGTTTTGTGGATGGATTATAAATCAGTTATGAGTACAGCGCAATATGCAGAGGTACAGCGACCGCCATATTTTTGTTTTATTTTACAAGCCTTTTTTAAACTTGACCTATTCGTATGGGAGTGTAGGACAAATGTGGGGACAACATTTACATTTTTCATAGACACCCCTACCATATGGGTATCAAATCAAACGGCTTGAAGAGAGAAACACAATAAGTGCAGTGACGTCATTCTAAATACAAAATGACGGCGGCCACAAAATGGCGATTTACTTTTTCTATATACAAAAAAAGTGTGCAATATTCTACCAGCGGTTTCTAGAGCTTAAAATAGGAAGAAAAGTTTATATAAACATAGGTCGACAAACGTCCCCTAAGGACGCTACGGTCTTTTAAAGGGGCTTCCCTGAAGATGGTTTTTCCTTAATATTTCCGAAACGTGTTGAGATAAATACATAAAATTTGGTATTCTAGCCTAGTTTTTTATGCTGGATTTAAAAATATTAACAATTTTAGACAGTTTTGTTTGGAAGCGTATGTAACAGGGCCGGACTCAGGTTATTTTAGCCCCAAAATTTTTGTGTGATTCTATTTTTGAAATTCAATTTTAGAATTCGAAAATTTAGGGTTTTCTCCATAAAAAAGGTGCTCTTATTGAATATCGATAAATTGTGCCATTTTTGAATAAAATCAAACTAAAAAATTTGTCACATGATAGGAAATGTACTGCAAATTTAAATGAATTGTTAATTATACATAGTTAGTCATGACTGCAAACAAAAGTTGTTTTGAATTGTTATGACTTATTTTGACGTTAAGCTGACATTGTTAGCAGTGTAAAATTACTAGATTAAAATCAAAATTTTTATTAAATCGATTTAAAATGCCAAGATTTACAGACAGAGAACTGACTGACATGCAGTTTGTGTACGGGTTTTGAAATGGCAGTTCATTGGCAGCCGTAAGAGAATATCAAAGAAAATTTCCCAATCGCATAGTACCTGGACGTCGAATGTTTACTGATATTCACCGGAATTTGTCAAACCATGGAAGTTTTCAGCACATGCAGGGCTCAGGAAGGCCATTGAGAAATCATCGTATGGATATTGCTTTAAATATGTTTGAAAATAATCCGCAAATAAGCATACGAAATGTTTCAGAAAATATGGATATACCTCGATCAATAGTAAGAAAAATGTATGAATACATGATGATGAGGACTTGATGAACAAATCACAGTAAGCAAGGTGAGCTCATTCTCAATCTAATATGGCGACCATCGCTTAACGTCGATTTACACTTTCCATAGTCACCACTACGAAATGGTTATCCAACGGAAGCGCTTGATGAGAGGAACACAATAAGCGATGTGCCGTGATTCCAAATCCAATATGGCAGCCTCTCCAAGAAGGCGTTTATAATTATCATAGTGACCCATATGATATAGGTATCAGATCAAAGAGCTCTATGGGAGAAACATAACAAGCAAGGTGAGTGAGTGAGCCAGCAAGAAGCATGAAATGAATTAATGGATATCAAAAATCTCCAAAATTCCTGTGGTTTTTTGCAAAAATCAGAATCTCTTTGAAGAAAAAAAATCCTGAGAAAATGATCATCAAGTCTGAACCAATGTTCGAAGAACGAAAGCAAATATTATTAAGCAATTTTCAGGAGTTTTTATTGCTCCGTATAACATGTCACGTTTTTCGAGGGTGTCCCAAAGTGCAATATTTTCAATTTCGCCCTGAATCCCAGAAGCGGGCTATGGAAATTTTGTCTATACCATCTCCATGACGTAATCATGCATTAGTGTTTTATCTATAATTTATTGCTCGGACATTTTACCTTCCAATATCAATCCTGCTTTTTAGACCGTCTTCGGTGCTAATACAACGTTGCAATTCGGTATTTTTGGAGGCCAGAAGATTTAAGAGGTATGTGCCAGTTGGATGTCTCATCTTTGTACGGTGCTGCATTAACTCTTTTTGCTGACGTGTGCCCTATTTTTCTTTATCTTTCCCGTATGCCTAAACCTAGGCGTAATACAAAACGCGCGAGTTACGAAACGACTGCCCTAATTATTTTTAATAAGTCGACAGTGGTAGACATTGCTGTGAATACGTAACACTTGAGCTAAAAGCGTGACTCGTTATGGATGGTAGAAAGTAGCAGGGTGACGTAAGCATAACGCTAGAAGAAACAGGAGAGGAACACCGGTTTCCTCCAAGTTTGCGTGTCATTAGCAGAGTAGGTGTAATTAAGGACCCGAACAGACGAAAAACCTTTGACGCTCAGGAATTCATGGAGCGCGGCGCGCTGCTTTCTGGTTTGTAATTTTCGCGCTGCTACACTGATCACACGGCTGTGCGGAACTTTGTAATTATTATTTTGATGCGTTTCGTCATCTTCTTAATAAATGTTTGCGCAGTGAGTTGCAATCTTATTGCCTCTTAGGATTCATCCTTATATTTTTTTTACTTGTCACGCCCACTGGCAAGGAACTATAGTTCTCACTGGACAACAAATTTTAGTTTTTTAATTGTATCTTGTGGGAAAAGTGCACTTCTTTGTTAATTTTGGGACGCTGAATCCAAAAATGACAATGAAATAAAAAAATTAGTTGCGGTTTAGAAAAAAAACCTTTTTATTTTCAAGGATATATTAAAAAAAGTAACAAGATTCATATACTTATAAGAATCACTATATGCGCTGTCTTTTTGCTGTTCTTTTATGGATCGTTTCTGGAGCATCTCTACCAAGAGCCCAACAGTAGTCTGCAAGCATGGAAGGATTCCACTTTCCCTGGTACCTTTTTTCCATTGTTGAAATATCCTGATGAAAACGTTCGCTGTGCTCATCACTTACGGCTCCGCAATTGTCAGGAAAAAAGTCCAGGTGTGAGTGTAGGAAATGTATCTTAAGAGACATATTACAGCCCATCTTTTGATACGATGACAGCATATTTTTGACAAGGGTTTTATAGTTGTCAGCTGTTTCATTTCCCAAGAAATTAGTGACCATCAGACGGAAATCATTCCAAGCAGTTTTTTCAATACCTGTTAAAATGTTTTCAAACTGTGTATCTTTCAAAATATTTCGAATCTGTGGCCCAACAAAAATACCTTCTTTATATATATAATTTAAAAAAAATTCAGCCCGCCTATGGTCCCCATGAATCCTGGGACTACCAGTGCACCCCCATCCCCTTGACAAGTTCCTAAATCCGTCACTGACTTTGTTTCAGGAGCAGTGTACGTGTAATTGTCCACCATCAGACGGCGACTGTGAAGATTGCGAGGAGTGTCCAAGGCAACTGGGAGAGCCTTGCACTGCACAAAAGCCTTGTGATCCCCAAAAGAGCCTTGTTTGCAGATACAAACCTGGTGAATCGGAGGGAATCTGTAGAGGTAAGTACACACTTCCTGTAAATATGAAAAGGTATAATCACAATCTTGGAATGCACGCTTTAGATCTAATAAACCACGTTCTCAGGAAATGACGTTCATATCTCTTTAAGGAATATTCTAAGAATGTGCAATTTAAGAACTCTCAGCATATTCACAAAAAAACGACGAGAATGCACATTGTACAAGTTGTAATATGCTGTGTGTGCGCTCAGTACAATAATGAACTTTTTTCATAGACAACGCTGCGTCACGCATTTGCCTTTGATCCACCACTAAACTTGCAACGGCCCACATTTTCCCCTACCGAATTCAGCGACACTATTTACCGATTCCTTTTTTTTTTTTGGTTCGACTACAGTGCAGAATATTTCAAAGGCAATCAAGATTCCAGACGTGTTCCAGATCACACAAAAATGAAATCTGACAACAAGTTTTGCAAATATAATCGTAAATAGATATTTTTCATTTTGACTAATATCTAGGTGAATGCGGATATCTACAAATATAAATGTTTTAGGGCCGGGGAATGCAGGATCTGCTGTTTGTTTACAACATGTGGTTTGTATTTCTAGATTATAAATTAGTAATATACTAAGTGACATATAAATCCGAACACCCAGTTTAAATGGTTTTATTTTAATAAAAGTTGGTGAATGTATTTATCTTACTGTAAATAATAAGTGAAAAAATTTTCAGCCTTATCAGTTGGACATTCCGGTTTTTATACTGCTTTTTTTTAATTCACTAACGCTCTAAAAATGAATATTTCAGCCGCAGTAAAGAATCAACGTTGGCGGATTTTGATTCTTGACATCCTTTACGATCGGTTACGATGCCTAGAGTACGGAGACCTGTACGATTTCGTCAACTTAGTGAGTTTGATAGAGGCCGTATAGTGGGACTTCGGGAAGCTGGACTTTCTTATCGGGCAATTGCAGTTAGAGTGCAAAGAAGTGTAGACACTGTGGTTAGGTGTTGTCAGGCATGGTTTCGAGAAGGCCGTACGCAAAGAGCAAGGGGCACTGGACGCCGCCGTAGAACAACAGACCGTGAAGATCGCCGCCTAAGATTATTGGCCTTAAGGGACCGTTTCTCCACTACCAGGTCCATTGCAAATGAATGGTTTGCAGAACACGGAAGACCTATTGGCATGCAAAGTGTTTACCGACGAATGAGAAGTTTTGGCTTGTTTTCATACCGGCCACACTGGGTCCTCCCTTTAACTCGAGAACACCGACGTAATCGCCTTGAGTGGTGCAGACAACGGTCACTCTGGGATCAGGAATGGAACAGTATTGTCTTTAGTGACGAGTCTCGATTTTGTTTAGGCATGCACGATGGTCGTGTCAGGGTTAGAAGGCGACGTGGTGAAAGGAGGAATCCACAGTTTTTTGTTGAAAGACATGTTCATCACACTGTTGGAGTTATGGTTTGGGGTGCTATAGCTTATGGTTCCAGGTCACCTTTAATCTTCATCAGAGGTAACATGAACGCGCAGCGTTATATCCACGAAGTTCTAGAATCCCATCTTTTACCCTATCTTGACTGATCTAACTTTCCAACAAGATAATGCCCGACCACATGTTGCAAGAGTCACAATAGACTTCTTTCAACATAATGATGTCACATTGTTACCATGGCCACCAAGATCTCCCGACTTATCCCCAATTGAGCACGTGTGGGATATGATGCTTAGGAGATTGCTCAATTTGCAACGTCCTCCTCAGACTCTAGAAGCACTTCGAGAGGAGTTGGTGGTTGGCTGGAATGAGATACCACAGGAGGACATTGACCACCTGATCAGAAGCATGCCTAGGCGCGTTGGAGAATGCGTAGCACATCAGGGTGCGTCCACACATTATTAAAGGTCAAAGGGCTTTAAAGCAGTGCAATCATTTTGAAATTTTTATCATTAGTTATTATGCTTCATTAAGTACTTCTACAAAATTTTATTAAAATAAAACCATTTAAACTAGGTGTTCGGATTTATATGTCACTTAGTATAGATTGCCACGTATTGTAGCATACGTTAAAAACAGTTAAAACATCCTATTGAATACAATAGCTAGCTTTTCATTGGTAGATTAATTAGATCTTTCGTTATTTTTAAATTTATAAGAAATGGCAAAACTCATGAACGTTGTCGTGTTTTCTCTATAGTGCTCTTGTTTCTAATACAATCTCTTTTCCACGATTTTATTCAACACCTCAATAGAAATCTGGTTCAAGTGACCGTTAAAATTAACGTTGGTGAAATCCACCCTTAGAGACCTTTATTCAAAGCAAGCAAAGCTGCGACTCACTTTGAACAAATCTTTTGCAACAGTCGACTATTTTCTGTTCATTAATCCGAACATTGCGGATTTCGCTCTATCTCTTCTCCGAGCTTTGCGGCAGTTTCCAGAGTCCTTAAGTGGTGGCTTTGAGAAATTAAAATGCTAAAAATGCGTGATTCTTCTTAAAAGCCGAGGCACGCCTTCAGACATTGCGCCAGTTTGCTTAATGCCAGCGATAATTGCATGATGAATTATACGGCTGGACGTGAAAAGCCAGCAATTTATTCTGTGCTGCATTTTCATTTTCATTCAGGGCAAGAAGCTTAGAAGGCAGCATTTTACAACGAAAAAATGAATATACGGGGCTTTAATTAAGTATCTACCATTAATTTAACAGACGATTGTTGATTTACGACAAAAAGTTCATATAAACCTAGGACTGTTCGCTCTCAAGATACAAGTTGTTAAAATTTTAAAAAAATGTTATTTGGCGGTGGCATTTATAGCATTAAAATGCTCAGATAACGCCTCGAGCAGGATCTGAATGAACATTTGAGACAAATAATGTACGCCACTGAGTTTTATGCGATTTAGAAATAGCCGCGTCGGTTTAGTTATCTTTCCATAAACATTTAAAGAAACCCAAAATACTATATTTGACATAAAATTTTAATTAGCCCTAAAATAAATTGACAAATAACATGTTTTGAGGCGTTAATATCTTGTTACAGTTTTTCTGTTAGTGTTGTTTTTTACAATTTTCTGTTCATGTAGTTCGTTTGAACAAATTTTATTGTTTTGGTATCTTACACTTTCGCATTTTAAAATTTACCTTGACCTGTGTAAGCACGCAAGTGTATTTAGCTCCAATAAAGAATTAAAATGAAATCAAAAGGTGCTTACCTTTTTTTTTGGTCACTCGGTATAACAGCGTGTAGGGCCAACCTACTTTTCGCTATCTTTTTACTGGAGGCGTATAGAGCAAATTGAAATAAAGAAACGACTCGGTGTATGCAGATTCCTAAACGAAATTTGTAAGTCGTTTCGGTTGTTTTGTGATTATGAGGCGGAAATCTGGAATGGAGGGCAAAAATAAGTAGGAGCGAAATGGTTGGTTGTTAGATTAAAGATCTCTGAGAGGGCGATTCATTTGCTGGAATGAGGGCATTAAGAGATTTAGGCACAGCAAGGGACCAGCATTTTCTGCTTTCCGCACACAAAGCCAAGCTAAAAGCACGGCTGAGGTTTACCGTGGACGTGGACTGTTATGTAAAGAAAGTCAAACTGATCGACTTTGTACTCGCAAAGGAATTTGTTGTTAATGAGATTATGTATATATTATATACAGGGTGTCCCAGAAGTCGACGTCAAGCCGAAACCGGGTGATAGGCAAAGTCATAACAGCTATCAGAAAAATATTTCAAAAAATGTGTTTTGAAAATTATAGGTATTTGAAAAAGATATAGAAATTTCACACCCTACGGCAATCTGTCAACTCCTGTTACTACAAATATTAACTTTTTTTGGATTTTATTTTGTCAATGTAATGATGAATAATGCATCTTCAATCTGGTGTCTCAACCTTACTGCCAACTTTTCTCGTTCAGGAAAAATTGCCACTTATTTCCCAACCAAGTATTCCAAAGTAAAACTTTGCTCAACTTTAACTGGCTGTACTGGAAAAAAATGTACTACGAGAGTTTGGCAAGTAACCTTAAAAGTTGGCGCATTTAATAACGATTCCAAAATGGTATAACACTTAGAAGATTACTCGTTAACTTATGCACAATTTTTATTTGAAGAAAAACGCACAAGGACCCTTAAGGATAACTGTTTGCACAACAGTGGCCGTCAAAATGCTGCTGATGATGATTTACCTTTACAGCAAATGCTCATGTTTTCCTTCAGACGCAATACACGCTCGACATCTTCTTAAAAAAGATCGGGTTATTAAACGAGCGAATCCACGGTTATTAACAAACTCAGCTGCTTCCAATAGTCTTTGCCGTAGCTCAGCTACATTTTGAATTGGCTTGAAATACACTTTTTCTTTTACAGTTCCCCAGTAAAAAAATCTAAAGGATTCAAATCAGGTGATAGGGCTGGCCACAGTATTGTACCAGACCGCCTTATCCATCTGCCTGGAAAGTTTTGATCGAGATACACTCTCACTGAGAATGCATAGTGCGCTGGGCAGCCATCATGCTGTAACCACATGTCCCTGTAAATACTCAGTGGCACGTCCATCAATAAATTTTGTACATGATTTTTCAAAAAATCCAAATAAACTTCAGCAGTCAAAGTCTCTGGGAACTCAAACGGACCGATTGTTTTACCATTTAAAATTCCTGTCCAATGGTTTATCTTGAAGCGATATTGAGATTTATCTTCTCTCATCAAATGTGGGTTTGCTACGTGCCACTCGTGTAAGTTATGCAGGTTCATGTACCCATCTTTCTTAAATGTGGTCTCATCTGACCATAACATTTTTTCAAAGAACCGTGGATCTTCCCTGTGTCTTTCTAACATTGTGCGACAAAAAGCAACTCGGGGCTCATAATCCCGGGGCAGAAGAGCTTGAACACGCTGTACGTGGTATGGATGGAGCACGTTTTTTTGCAAGATTTTATGGGCTGTACTTTGGCGCACACCTGTTTTTAGTTCTATTGCACGCACTGAAG